GATAGATAGATAGATAGATAGATAGATAGATAGATAGATAGATAGATGATAGACAATCTACTGAGTCCACTTAGTATGTTGATATGTAAATGTGTTTAGGACTGATTACTTGGTATTAGATAATCTACCAACAGCTCTTCCGAGAAGTAAACAAATTCTCTTCATCTGTGTATTGTTTATAGAGTTGACCTTTACCTACTTCTCTGAGCCTTTTATTTTATATTTTCACCCCCTTAACAATTCAGCTCTTCTATTTTTCCACTTAGTTCATCTCCTCGGAAACTTTATTTCAGTGGTAGTTATTCAAAATATTACTTCTCAGTGTTGTCTACCTGTGAATTGTATACTTCATAAAATGGGACATACTGGTTCTCAGTAAGTCCGATGCTTGTCATAAGTGCAACATTATCTATGAGTCAGGCACTGACACATGTCCACAATCCTAGCAGGAGGATGAGGCAAGAGGATTGCACTTGCCAGACTAGATTAAGGCACTGGAAGGAGGAGGAAGGAGAGGATGAGAAGCACAAATGAAATAGCATTTGAGTAACCTTGTCTTCCTCCTTTTTGTCTTTTTATTTCAAGTTCTCTTCTGAACTTTATTCCGTTGGAGCATTTTCCCTTGGGGATACCATCAACTAACTTGATATCCATTTTTAGTCAATTAAACTCCTCTGTTTAAACATTGTTTCTGTGTTCTTGCAAAGTGTTATTCATTGAAACAGAATGTTCATTCCTTTTCCTAAAACATACAAACTCTAACAAACACAAGTATAAATTTACAACTCATAATCAGACCAGATTATTTTTCACTCTCTAAAATTATGGTTTGTGATGAGCTTACCATGAGCATTTTCTTGATCACTATACATGCACAAGGAATTTCTTATGAATTCCCAAGGTACATTCTTCTAGTGATATTGTCAAATCCTGCCCTGTGCTTGGATAATTGGCATGATTGTCTTTTTTTTCTACCAAACTCTAGATGCCTTCAGAAAAAAAAAAAAGTCTGATAAATGCTGGTTGTCCTGGATCAATGGTTGAATCATTGAACCACCTGCATAAACTACTCATAAATAGGCAATTATTTTTTTCTGCAATGACCTTTTTCATTCTTTGGTGGCTTTTTCTAACACAGCACCGCTGATGTCACACTGCTGTTCCACAGAGTTAATCTAAATCCCTCATCCTGGTGTTAATCTCTTGGTTTTATCTCACTGGGAATGAAGAAAGAACAGCCTGGTGATATAGCCTATGTGCTATTGTTCCCTAAAGGGTTGAAGATTAAATCCACTTTCAATCTTGTTCTTTTTCTCCATTCTCAAGGCAAATAATCACACATTTTTATCTTCTGATAAGGCCCTGAAATCATGTCACAATTCGCACAGTGTTCATGCACCCAGACATTTCTGTTGATGTTGAAAATATCCCCTTTAATCACAGCCTTAGTCTTTGAGATCTGTTCTATATAAAGTGTAGATAGCAAGAGATTTGCCTTCCTGCATCAATCTGGTGTTCCCTAGCTGCCAGTGTGCTAACAAAAGGTGGACAATGAGAAAGCAGAGCTTCATGGCCTTTTCCAGTCTTTAGGATTCCAGGCTACTGGCAAATGCAGATTTTGCTGAAAGCAATTTAATCCCCTTCACCCTAATTTAATGGTCTTTAGGCAATCAGTCATCCCACATTTTGTGACATAAAATTATCTTCTAGAAAATACACACACACACACACACACACACACACACACACACACACACACACACGAGTCAACGTACAAGAACAGAGAATTCCAGAGGAGTCTCTAAAACTGAAGGACCTAGGGCTATAGAAGCTAAATGCTTCCGAGGGAATGTACCAGTGATTTTAGTGTTAGCTTCCTGACAAATCCTGGAAGGTAAAACTCCAAGATCTTTGATGTCTTATGAAATTGACTGGCAGAGACAGCATGGACAAGAAGAGCTGTGGTCAGGAAACAGGCAGACAGAGAAACTGTCCCGGCTCCCCACGACCTACTCAAGAAGACCCTGGAAGTTCTTGGGTTTCAGCTTTTAGCATACCCATCTTACCGTGCAAATACAGCATATTTAAATAAATGGTCAGAACCTCTGCCAAGTTGACTTAAACATAATGAGTTTATTGATGCAGGGAGTTTTTCTTCATGAGCACCAGATTTCTTTGGAAATAAACCTGCTTTCCAACAGCAAACAGTTGTCATAGAAAATTTCAAGGTGGGAGGGTGAATAATACCTTTTTTTAACTTCTGGTACACAGACATCTTGGATGTCTTACACGACTAGGGTCAACATAGACAGATTGCTAGAGTTCCTAAGACAAATGTAGATTCCTCTTGCTTACATAAAGCAGAGAACAAAAATGATGGCTTAGCAATATATTTTGTTGCCAAAGACATTGTGATGGCTGAGCAAAATATTCTGATGAAGAAAAGAATGAAGAATCATTTCTAATTTAGTGGTCTACAAAAACTGGATTATGTTTACACCCAAGTGTGCTCAGACTAATGAACTGGGTCTTGGGAATACTTCAAAATGTTATGATGTATATATTGAATAAAATGCACATAATATCAGTAGAATGGAATGTAAATGAATGCAGGAAAAATTGTTACAGAAAAAATGTTATAAAATATGTAGTTATATGTTGGCACATAAAGTAGGTATGTATATGTTAGGTAATATTACATACTCATGCATCCATGTCTACATATATGTAATACACATGTTGGTATATA